GTTTCATTCCTATTAATTTAATCTGTGCGTAGTCTAACCTTCACTTTGTTCAGCAAATACAGTAAGTATGAAAATATTTGTAAGCGAATTATTACGACTTTTACTTTTTATTTTTTATTTAATTTGAGATGTGAATGGTTTTTAAGAAACGGGAAAAGCGCGAATTTGACGCGTACACTAAAGGTTTCTGTACAAAGTAGATAATTCGTGCAAACTCAAAAACCAATTTCTGAAAATGTTTGCTTAGAAAAACGTAACTACGCATTTATAAAAATACTTTTTCATGTACAACAGTAAATTTTTAAACCGTTTAATGTAAATTTATAACCAGAAGAAAATGCGTTATAGAAAGAAGTTTATGACCTAAATTATTTTTGTTCTGAACATCTTCTCATTCGTTTGCTGTTAGTAAAATCTGAAGTCCGACCGGGACTCCACCCAGTACACGCTGGAAGACTGACCCGCATGGGAGTCCAAGTGTCGAGTTTCTGTCGGACAGATCAGAAGCAACCTGTCACCGCCAGGACGTTATGCTCCAGAAGGAGACTGCAGATCGGGACCGATACGACCTTTGAACCATCAAGAAAAGAACTTACTCCATACTCGAAGGCCGGCATCGCGCTTGTGACTCCTGAGCTACAGTTTTATCACATCACATCACATCACATCAATAGCCTTTACTAGTCCACTGATGAACATAGGGCTCTCCTTAGAAAGGAGGTTTTGGCCTACTTTACCACGATGGCCAGACGGGTTGGTATAGGATTTGTCGGGGTGCTAGCTAGAAAACCTCCCCGTGGTGCACCCTGGAAACGCTGGCGATGGTACTGTTTCCTCCTTGTCCTCTTGGAGGAGAGGATTATCGCCAGCGGCCAATATTCTAGCAGAAGAGGTAGCCGTTCATCGGCTCTCGGGCAAGGCCTGGTCCAGCAGGGTGGGCGTGTCTGCCGGTTGCCCTGCTGGTTCTTCGCTCTTCGGAGCATGGAGGAGGAAACCTCGGTAAAAAACCTGATGGCGGGGCCCTGTAGGGGCCACAGTTTCTCCGCTGATAGCGGTGGAGAAAGGAGGACGGGCTCGGCGTGTACTGACACTACCACCGAGCAGGCAGGGGGACGTAGTCTCCCTGTCAACCGTCGGCATATCGCAATCCCGAGAAGAGCGCTGTGGTTAAGTCTCGCGGCTCTGATCGGGGGCGAGGGTCTTGGCTTAACCGCCCGGACCGCGAGGAAGATAACCTCTCTAAAAAATTCCCCGAATCCCGTGTTCTGGTGCGTGGCCAGGGGATGCATGGCTGATGGGAAGTTCAGTCGCGAGCGCACTCCAAGCCGAGGTACCTGCGGACCCCTCGGTTGGGTTAAAAACTTACGCTTGCCCGGGTAATGGGGGATCTCTGCCCGGGTGGACCTTTAGTTCTCCCCCACTCGTGGGATTTACTATGGAAAACATAAACAAAAACCTAAAAAAATCGATCGGACAAACACAACGAAAGCAGGCAAGCAAAACGGACACTGAAACGAAGGGTGCAAAGGAGAAGAGGAATAGTGGAGCGGATGGGTCGTCCACTGAGGGCGAGATGGTGTCGGGAACGCCTATCTCGATGGGGCTCCCAGAGGTCAGTCTGACTCTGGTCTCTGGGAGCCGAAGAGCATCGGATCGTATTCGCTCCGGATCCGCCGTCTCATCGGATGGCGCGGACGCCATGGAAGCGGAGCGGAGCGACAGCCGGAAACGCGGACGCTCCAGGGAAGAGGGGACCGACACGTCCGGCGAAATGATGCCACCAAAGGTGGCAAGCAGCCGCCGAGGGAGGGCACGTAAACCGGCCTCGGTCTCGACCCCGTCAGGCTCCGCGTTCTCAAACGCGGAGTCCTACAGGAGCGTACGAGTGGACGGCGAGGCCGTAGCGGAGGAGGAGATCGCGGATCTCCTGCTCATGGTTCGGGAGCCGGTGGGGGGAAATGCCCCCCAGGCTCCCGTGTCCGTGCAGGAGAGGGCGAAAGCGGCGGTGGCCGTCATCGACAAGGTGGCCACCAAATCCGTGAACCTTAAGGGCTCGTTTGTGAGGGCCCTTAAGGACTCCTCCTCCGCTTTGTCGGAGGTCGTGGAGGGCCTAGTGGGCGACGTATCGCGCCTACAGGTGGCCAACGAGAAGCTGACGGAGCGGGTGAACGAGCTGAGCGCTCAGTTCGCCCGCTTCCAGGCGAACCTCCCCGAGCGGGAAGCCCCGTCCGCGTCCCAGCCTGCCCCTACCACCAACTCAGGGGCATTTGACTCCCAACTGCGAGAAATCCTCATCGCAGTTGGGAATATGCTGGACGGACGCCTGGCTGGCCTGGAGGCGAGACTGCCCCCTGCGCCGATTATGCGCCCCCCGCTCGCGTCGGCACAGCGGCCTAAGGCCGCCGCTCCGACCGCGCTCCCCGTTGTGGGAGGCCGCGTTTCTTACGCGGCGGCGGCGTCTGCCCCTACTCCATTGGCTCCACAAAAGCCGAGGAGGGGGGCCAAGGCACCGGCCCAGGCGCCGGCCAAGGCACCGGCTAAGGCGCCGGCCAAGGCACATCTCCAGGCGCCGGCCAAGACGGGGCCTAAAACAGCGCCGAGGAGCGGAGTGGCATTCCCTCCGCTCCCCACTCCGACACCCCTGCCTGGCCCCTCCGCACCTGCCCCCTCCAACGAGGGTTGGCAGGAGGCGAGGGGCTCCAAGAAGTCCCGAAGGCGGGCCAAAAGCGCTGCCAAAAAAGCAGCCCAAGCCCAGCCTTCGCCACCGGTGGCAACGGCCTCTGCAAAGAGGCCGCGGAAGCTGCAGCCGCCCAAAACCGCGGCTGTAGTTGTGACCGTGTCCCCGGAGGCGGCTGACGGCGGGCTGTCCTATGCGGCCGTCTTCAAAAAGGCCCGGGACAGCCTCGCCAACGAGTTTGGGACGGTGGGGGTCAGGATGCGCCTCGCCCAGACGGGAGCTCGAGTCCTCGAGTTCCCTGGGGCTGAAGGCGCAAAGACGGCGGACTCCTTCGCTGAGAGGCTGCGGGGAATATTTGCGGCCACAGATGGTGTCAGGGTCGCCAGGCCTACCAAGTGCGCGGAACTGCGCATCTCGGGCCTGGACGACTCAGTGACGGCCGAAGATGTCCGCGCTGTAATCCGGGAGAAGACGGGGTGCAGCGCGGACAACGTCAGGGTCGGCACCATCCGCCCCGGTCCAGGAGGGCTTGGCGCCGTGTGGGTCAGCTGTCCCGTAGCGACGGCCAAAGTATTGGCCGACGCCGGCAGGCTGCTCATCGGTTTCGTGAGCGCCAGGATCACAGTCCTGGCGGCGAGACCGATGAGGTGTTTTAAATGCCTGGCCACGGGACACACGCGCGTCAAGTGCGACAGTTGTTTTGACTGCGGCGGACTGTGTTTCCGCTGCGGTCAACCGGGGCATAAGGCGGCAGAATGCCCTGCCGCCCCTCACTGCCCAGCGTGTGCGGCGGGCAATAAGCCCGCCAATCACCAGATGGGGCAGAGAGGCTGCAAGCCTCCCCGCAGTTCTCGGCAGACGTCAGGGGCTAGCCAGTCGAGCAGGCTGCCTCCGATGTAGTACGTGCGTCGTCGTCGTCGCCCATGGAGGAGGTTGTAGAGACGATCCAGTAATGGATCAAGTCTCCAACCTCCTGGTCCAGACGAACCTGAACCACTGTGCCGCGGCGCAGGATCTCTTCCTGCAAACCATGGCACAGTGGTCGATAGGTGTTGCCGTAGTCGCGGAGCCCTATTCTGTCCCTCCCCGTCCAAACTGGATGGGTGACTGGGACGGCTCCGTGGCAGTCGTCGGTTCCACGACGGCTCATTCCCCGCCCTTGTCGCTAAGAGACAAGGGCACTGGATATGTTGCCGTCGAGTGGGGGGGGATCACCATATATGGTGTTTATTTCTCCCCCAACCGGAGTTTGAACGACTTCGAGGTTTTCCTAACCAGCTTGGAGACCTCGATACGGCGACTAGCGTCTGGGCACGTCCTTGTGCTGGGGGACTTCAACGCAAAGTCCATTGCGTGGGGTTCCCCCAGGACGGACGCAAGGGGCGAGGCCGTAGAGGAGTGGGCGGCCTCGGTGGGCCTCTGTCTTCTAAACAGAGGCTCCACCAACACGGTATGCGACAAGGGGGGGTCGTAGTGGACCTCTCGTTCCTACCCCTGCCTGCCGACGAGAAGGAAAGGTGTGCCTGGAAAGTTGAGACGCTCTCGGATCACCTGTATATCCGATTTGAGCTCTCCCGGACCAGGTCCAGTAGGGGCACGGGCGGGCGTTTATCCGTTTTCGCGGGGGGCTGTTGCCAAATGAACGGGACTACAGAGGAGGCAGCACAATCACTCGTGGTGTTCTCAGGTCCGACCGAGGGGTTTGACGTGGGGGGCTGGTCCTTTCTGGATGCGATTACCGCCCAAATATTAATGCGGAATTGCGGAAAAAAAAACCCCCAAAAACCCCCATGGGGGTTCTGGACTTTTTTCCCAAAGGCACGACCCCGCCCGACCCCGTCTATCGCCCGGGAAAGCCATCACGGAGCGGACCACAAACGCGAGCCAAGGAAAAGGGCCGGAACGTCCGGAAAGGACCACCAGGCAAGACAGGGGCAAAAAACCGCCCCACCCCGTCAGCACCGTTCTCAAACGCGGACAAGGAGCGTACGAGGGGAAGGCAGCCACGGAGAGGAGTTTACCTTATTTCGGGAGCCGGTGGGGAAATGCCCCCCAGGCTCCCCCGGGCCAAACGGGCCCGAAAGGGCCCCAACCCAATAAGGCCCCCTTTAGGCAAAACCCCCCTTTGTGGGCCAGGCCCACCGGCAGATGGGAAGGTGGCCAGGGGCACGACGGGAACGATGGCCCCCAGGCCGCCGGGAACCGAGCGCCAGCCCGCCCGCTTCCCAGCCAACCCCTCCCACCAACCCCGGGCGTCTTGCTCCCACTCGATCCCCCCAAATAGGATTTGACTCCACTCCCGGGTAAAACCTGCCGCGTGGATATGCTCGACCCCGCTGGCTGGGGCGAGGACGCCCGCGCCGATTTCGCCCCGCTCCGTGTGGGGCCGCGCCCTAAGCGCCGCCGCCGGCGCTCCCCTTTATGGCCCTTCACGGGGGCCCGCTGCCCCCCAGGCCCACAAAGCCGGGGGGGGGGCCCCCAAGGCACCCCCAGGCGCCGGCCAAGGCCCGGGCCTAACGCCGGGCAGGCACCTCCGGCCCCCAAACGGGGCCTAAAACACCCACCCGGCTCCCCCCCCCCCCTCCAACATGCCGGGCGACCCCCCCTTCCAAGAAGTGGCGGGCAGGGCTCAAAAAAAAGCCCAAGGCCCCCCAAGGGGTGAAAAAAGCGCAAGAAGCCGGCGCGGGCCAAACCCCGGAAAAGGGTTGCCGTGCCCGGAGCGCTGCACGGCGGCTGTTTGGGCCGTTTCAAAAGGCGGGACCCCGGGCCCTATTGGGGGGGGGTAAAAAGGGCCCCGGGGCAGCCCCAAACGAGTTTGGGCGGGGGGAAAGGATGGGGCCTTTCCGAGGAGCTCGGGTGATTTTGGGCGAAGGGCAAGGGGGCCGGACCTCGCCAAGGCGCGGGAAATTGGGGCATTGGGCCGGCGCCAGGCCCCAAAATGCCGCTAACGCGACCGGGGCCGGACACTCAGGGCGGCGAATTCCGCCGGTTCCGGGGGGGCGGGGGGCAGCGCGCCCGTGGGCGGCAAAATTTGGCCGGCCCAGGAGGCTTGGCGCCGTTGGGGCGGGTTCCGTGCGGCGGAAAAAGGGTTAAGCCGCGGGCCACGGCGTAGCCCCAAGCGATCGTTTTCGGCGGGACCGTGATGTTTTTTGCCTGGCCCAACGGGCAAAAGCGCCTCATGCGCAGGTGTTGCGGCGGCTCCGCCATCACCGGGGCAAAGGCTGCAAGCCCTCCCGTCCTCGCCAGCGTGGCGGCGGGCATAACCCGACGAGTCCGTCCACGTCGCCATGGAGGAGGTTGTAGAGACGATCCAGTAATGGATCAAGTCTCCAACCTCCTGGTCCAGACGAACCTGAACCACTGTGCCGCGGCGCAGGATCTCTTCCTGCAAACCATGGCACAGTGGTCGATAGGTGTTGCCGTAGTCGCGGAGCCCTATTCTGTCCCTCCCCGTCCAAACTGGATGGGTGACTGGGACGGCTCCGTGGCAGTCGTCGGTTCCACGACGGCTCATTCCCCGCCCTTGTCGCTAAGAGACAAGGGCACTGGATATGTTGCCGTCGAGTGGGGGGGGATCACCATATATGGTGTTTATTTCTCCCCCAACCGGAGTTTGAACGACTTCGAGGTTTTCCTAACCAGCTTGGAGACCTCGATACGGCGACTAGCGTCTGGGCACGTCCTTGTGCTGGGGGACTTCAACGCAAAGTCCATTGCGTGGGGTTCCCCCAGGACGGACGCAAGGGGCGAGGCCGTAGAGGAGTGGGCGGCCTCGGTGGGCCTCTGTCTTCTAAACAGAGGCTCCACCAACACGTGCATGCGACAGCAGGGGGGGTCGATAGTGGACCTCTCGTTCGCTACCCCTGCCCTCGCCGCACGAGTAAGGAACTGGTGTGTCCTGGAAGAGGTTGAGACGCTCTCGGATCACCTGTATATCCGATTTGAGCTCTCCCGGACCCAGGACTCCAGTAGGGGTCACGTGGCGCGGCGTTTATCCCGCTTTTCGCGGTGGGCTGTTGCCAAACTGAACCGGGACCTACTAGAGGAGGCAGCCACAATTCACTCGTGGCTGTCTCCTCAGGCTCCGACCGAGGAGGTCGACGTGGGGGCTGGTCGCTTTCGCGATGCGATTACGCATATATGCGATGCGGCCATGCCCCGCATTCGAGGTCGTCGGCCTCCAAGGAAGGAGGTCTACTGGTGGTCCCAGGAGCTGGCGGACCTCCGTGCGGCCTGTACACGTGCCCGGAGGTCCTACACGCGCAGTCGGCGGCGTCACCGTGGAGACGGTGAGGAGGACCGGCTTCATGAGGAGTACCGACGGGCGCGGAAAACTCTGAAGCTGGCCATTAGCCGCGCCAAAGAAGAAAAGAGACAGGAGATGCTGGAGGGTCTTAATCGTGACCTCTGGGGTCGCCCTTACCGCGCGGTGCGACAAAAGCTCCGCGCGTCGGGCCCCCCCCTTACCTTACGGAGACTCTCCAGCCCAGCTTCCTGCGAGAAGTGGTTGAGGGCCTTTTCCCACAACGGGCGGAACACACTCCCCCGTCGATGGCCTCCCTGGCCGGAGACGACGGGGTGCACGGGGAGGATAATGTTCCGCCCGTCCGGGATTCGGAGGTAGGGGCAGCTGTTCTACGGATCCGTTCCAAGAACACCGCCCCTGGGCCTGACGGGGTACCGGCCCGAGTGCTGGCCCTGGCCCTCAACCACATGGCAGACCGCCTCGGGGAGGTGTTCGACGCTAGCTTGGCGTCGGGACGCTTCCCTGAGTGCTGGAAGAGCGGGAAGCTGGTCTTATTGAGGAAGCCGGGACGGCCTGCCGATTCGGTCGCGGCCTATAGGACCATCGTGCTGCTGGACGAGGCGGGCAAGTTGTTTGAGAGGGTTCTTTCTGCCCGCATCGTCCGGCACCTCTGCGAGGTGGGCCCCGATCTGTCGGACGCCCAATTTGGTTTTCGGGCGGGGCGTTCGACAGTCGACGCCGTGTTGCGCCTGAGGGCCGTGACCGAAGAGGCCGTGAGCTGTGGCGGCGTGCTGTTGGCGGTGTCATTAGACATCGCCAACGCATTCAATAGTCTGCCATTCAGCTGCATCAGGGAAGCACTCCACTATCATGGAGTGTCAAAGTCCCTGAGGCGGCTGGTGGCAGACTATTTAGAGGAGCGTACCGTCGTGTACGAGGACCGAGAAGGTAATTTGAGGAGTCGGCCCATGTCGTGCGGTGTTCCACAGGGGTCTGTTCTTGGACCCCTCTTGTGGAACATAGGGTACGACTGGGCCCTTCGCGCCGATTTCCCCCCCGGGCTGGGTGTAATCTGTTATGCAGACGATACCCTGGTGACAGCCCGGGGGGCAAACTTCCAAGAGGCGGCGCGCCTGGCCACAGGGGGAGTCTCCCTGGTGGTCGGGCGCATTGAGGCGCTGGGCTTACGGGTGGCCCTAGATAAGACGGAGGCCCTGTTATTTCATGGGCCCCGTCGTGGTCCACCCCCTGGCGCCTCAATCGTGGTCAACTCGGTCCTCGTACCGGTTCGGGCCCAGATGAAATATCTAGGCCTGATCCTCGACGGGAGGTGGCTCTTCGACGAGCACTTCCGACAGCTTGCTCCAAAGCTGGTCGGCGCTGCGTCTGCCCTAGGGCGACTTTTGCCCAATATGGGTGGACCCAGCGTCGCGACAAGACGGCTGTACACGGGGGTTGTCCGGTCAATGGCACTGTACGGTGCACCGGTATGGGCGGCGGCTCTGACCGCCCAGAATAGGGTACGCCTCTGGCGCCCTCAGAGGGTAATGGCGGTCAGAGCCATACGCGGTTACCGCACCGTTTCGACGGAGGTGGCATGCGCATTGGCCGGAACTCCCCCGTGGGATTTGGAGGCGGAAGTGCTCGCCGAAGTTTATCGGCGAGTGGCTGACTCCCGGGCGGAGAGCGGATTTCGCCCTCCGCCCGAGGATGTGCGCGAGTGGCGCGAAGCCGCTCGCCGAGCCACGATGGCTCGTTGGTCGTTCCGGCTGGAGACTCCACGCGCTGGCTTCGCCGCCGTGGAGGCTCTCCAGCCGGTCATCGCCGAGTGGGCAGGGCGGCAGCACGGGACCCTTTCCTTCCGGCTGACGCAGGTGCTTTCCGGGCACGGTTGCTTCGGGAAGTACCTGCACTCGGTCGCTAGGAGGGAACTGAGTCCCGCCTGCCACCACTGCGACTGCAGTGAGGACTCGGCCCAGCACACGCTGGCGGTCTGCCCCGCATGGGCGGCGCAGCGCCGGGCCCTCACTGCAGTCGTCGGAGTGGATCTCTCGCTACCGGCCGTAGTACGCTCCATGGCCGGTAGCGACAGTTGTTTTACCGCGGTCGCAACCTTCTGCGAGGTAGTAATCTCGCGGTAGGAGGCGGCGGAGAGGGCCCGGGAGGACGACCTCCACTCGGACCCGATCCGCCGCCGGCGAACCGGGCGGCGGAGGCCCGCCTATCACAGCCTCATGCCGCCCTGAGTGTGGCCGCGGGTGGACGGGGTGGGTTTCCCCTCCACCCGCATTAGTTTGGCCAGCCGCGAGGGGGCGGCGTCCGCGTGTGCCGGACGTCGCCTATAAAGAGAGGAAAAACACTGAGATGGAGCCCGCACCAGGAGCGGGCTGGCGCTAGGAGGGGTCCGGATGTCTTAACAACAGCTGTTCCCGGATCCCTCCTGTTACAGGCGCAGAGTGGCACACCGTGTGGTTTTAGTCGGTCCGAGTCCGACACACCACCCCGCCGCAAACCCCGGAGGGGTGACGGTCCGAGGGGATTTCCACACGTTAAAAAAAAAAAAAAAAAAAAAAAAAGTTTCAAGTTTTCCTTCTCTCTGCAGAGCTGTTGTCCTGCGTAGTTTGCTTCCTTAGTCGCCTTTTACGACTCCACGGGATGAATAGGGGTGGTGACACTCTGTATTCTTAATCCGTCACCACACGGAGTTCCGTCACCACACGGACTTTTATAGTAAGTTTTATAGTTGTTTAAAATACAATAACAATTAGATTAATGTAACATAAAAACTTCATTATCTACTTTCAGGGACCGCAGTCATAAATATTTGTTTTGTAATAATTTCAACTTAACACCTTGTTTCTGCAAAAGACTAATGACAGACAAGCCACGAAATGATACGACAAGAGTTTTGTGTGAAAAAGCTGAACCTATGCAAGAAAATTCTTTAACGAAAAGCCTTTAGCCTAGAATAACAAAAAAACTAAAAAAAATAGACATACGGTCGCGGTCGATGAACGAATGCCGAATATGAACGTTACGATGCATTTATGACCCTTGACTGTGCGTAGAACTTGAAAAAAAAAACTATCAACAGTTTAGTTTGACTTATGATGTGTCAATGAAAAAAAAAAGAAAAGTTTTTGCTCTATTACAAAAAAAGATCGTATATGAAATCTATAAACAGGTAACTAGAATACGACGCGAATTAGTGTACGCTATTGTTATATGTACACATTCAGGACCATCGCTCAATATAGTTAAAATTCAAATACAATATATTTATTTAATGAAATTAGTTATTCATTATATAAAATCATCTAATCTTTGAACAAATAATAAGAATTATAAAATAACAAAGTCAGTGACTCTGTGCCGAACAAGAGGTCATTAATATTAAATTTTATGGATGTAAAAGA